GGGGGGGGGGGTCGGGGACTTTTCGCTCACCCTGTATTAAGGAACCGCCCATCACAACCAATAGAATAGCTCCATACTCTCGTTGTCTTCTTTGTCTACCGCTCTGTCTATCAATGTCAATAATCGGCCCGTAGGCTTCCTAAGTTCCTATCCATGCGTGGTAAAGTGATGGTACAGTAAACCTGCGATCTAATGATTGAAATAGATAAAGTCTTTGAGAAAAAGGAAATGGAGTGACCAACAGTGGCGTGGCGTGCTTTGCGATTTATCGATTGATACGCCACTCAAACCTATGGAAAATGATCGATTATCAGGGCTTTCGCTGCGAACATCCTTATAATCGAGTCTTTACCATTGCTTCAAATAACAAGATATCGATAATCGATCATTTACGCCACGCTACTCGGAGTGACCTTGCTTGAAACTGGGTGGGTGTTGTAGACGCAAAAATCGTGAATTAATATCATAAATGAAGTTCCTTTCGATGTTTTTATTTTTTACGGTGCGGTCATCTTCCGTGCCAAGGAAGAACGCCGCAAGATCCTTCAGGCGTTGCCAAATTTTCTTTGTTAAAACTCGAATTTTTTGGTAAACTTATGAATATTGTCCCCTGAATTTTCCAGCTAATTTTGTTCGCAATTTCGCCTGAAGCTCGTGAAAATTTCAAGGAAAAATATTCATAACTTTCCTCGGACATAAACATTTTATCAAAGGAAATTTGGCAACTCTCGAATGTTCCCTTACTTTGCACGGCAATATTGCACTCAGCCCTTTCCACCCATAGGGTCGCTCCATTTTCCCAGTGCGATGTATCGATTGTTATGCCATTTGAACCTATGGTAAAGCATCGATTATTAATGTGTTCGCTGCGCACACCCTGTTCATGATCCTTTTCCATAGGTTCAAATGACAATCGATGTATCGTAAATCACGCCGCGCCACTGTTTCCCAGTGTCTTTTTCGTCCGTCACTTTATTTTTCAATTTTAATAATCGTCCCATCCACCCCCCCCTCTCTGCATCAATTATGAGCGAAATCGAAGGAAAACCCCGTCTTAGCGGTTTTTGTCTCCGTCCAATCGTCGAATCGGTGGATCATCTGTGACGTCATCTCGGTTTTCCACCCGCCGACGACTCCTGAGCGTATGAAACTCCCGTCGATCTTGAAACCGCCGCACTTTTGGTTGAGCGCCTTCACTTGTTCCTTGTTTACGGCTTTGTTCCGCCTCATATTATCGAAGCTCAAATACTCGACCAGAGAGGACACTTGCTCGTTGCTCAACGATTTTCCCAGAAATTTGGCCGTTTTCTTGATCGCAGATCCCAGGTCCTGTCGAACGCAAACAGATACGCGATGTTAATGTGAAAAGATCCCTGACGAATATTTTTTTAAAGAAAAGAAAATCATCGCCTCATCAAGGAGCTAAATAACCTAACCTAACATAACGAATATTTAAAAAAAAAAAAAAAAGAAAAAAAAATATTACATCATCAAGGCACTAAATAACCTAGCATAAAGTGGCGCGATTTTAAAGACCCTGGAATCCCTATAGTTTTCAAAATTAGGTGACCGTATACTGAGCTATGAATTGTTCCTGTATAACATGAACTAAACCCTGGTAAAAATTGGCGATAAGAGCTGCGTTTCAAAATACCATAGGAATTCTTATAGCCGGCTAAAGAAGGCTACAGAAAATCATATAGCTGGCTGTAGAATGCGGAGAAAATCATACGGCCGGGCTATACGGAGCGATAAAAAATTATGCAGCCGGGCTATATTCCCTATAGCCGGGCTTCACACTTCATCGCCTGGCTGTTGCTTTTTCGCCATCGATTATAAAAGGCTATAAGAAATTGTGTAGAAATTCGTGCACTGAAAAAAAAACTCCGGCCGTGGGAGCCGAAATTACGGGCTATATAGTACTACCGTCCGTTCCGGGCTCAAAGGCCGGAAATTCCGGCTGCTG